CTTTTTAGGTACGATTTTTTGCTGCTCCAGGGCATTTTATAAGTGTGTTGACTTTCACTCTGGCATCCTGTAAGATATTGTACTCCGAATGCATTATGCTAGTGTTACATACATTCTTGAGCTGAGGACAGAGAAAGCTGATATGAGGACATTGATACTAGATGGCTGCTGTATTCTATAGACTTCAGTTTCAGGGCTGGGGAACAGCAGATGCTGCCTGTTTTCCTGTGTTAAGTGAATTACCACAGAGTTAAAGCCTGACTTTTATTTGAATTACGACGATTTAAGGTTTAGGATTAACACCATCTCTCTCTAACCACAAGTTACTGACAAGCTCCTACACACCAAATCTGTCAAACACACATACATGCACGCACACACACACTCACAAACAGCGGGCAGGAGTGAAAGAGTTGTTTATCACTACCAAACACCTGTGCGACAGAGAAAAGCGTTAGCAAAATCCCCCCTGAATAGAAAATAATCCTCCGTTTTCTGATGACTTTTAGACAGCAATGGTGACCCGTGTTTGTGTGTGTATGAGTGTGTGAATGTGAGGGGTCTTTCTGTTTTTATACTCATACTTTTTTGGTTGAGCTTTGATACAGTTTGAATGAATAGTTGGATTTGTGAAATCTGGAAAGGAGCACAGAAATCTACACTCAGCACAGACTGAGTGCAACTGAAGAGTGATGAAAAAGAGGCAGGGGTGCGTTTGCGGTTACCTTAGAAACAGTGTAAAAATGTGTCATCCCCAAATTATCAAACCTTATTAATTAAGTGGACTTTAAACTGTAATTATCTCCCTTCACATGAAAAATGAAGCATGGACAGTTCCCTTGTCACAGATTAAACCCAGTTCTGTATTAAATTGTAATGCCAGTTTAATTGTTAATTTGTGGTGAAACCAGCTCTGATAGTGCACTGAGGTAGGATTTTAGGTTACACATGATAGCATTTTAGCACTTATGCTCCATAAAGCAGCAGGATATGCGCACACTAACAGTATAGGCCTCCCCCTCCCCCTCAAACCTCCGAGAGTAAATAGCATCAGTTGTTTCAGCTCTAGTGGCATTTTAGCTTCAGCGACTATTCCGTTTACACCCTGAAATTAAAGTAAGTAATTCTGCACTGTCAATCATCTCAGTATTACAACTTACTGATATAACCACGGAAAAGCCCTGAAGCTAAAGGTTACTTCCTATGGGCATTACACTGTCAGTGCGCTAGGATGTGTGTGTTTGCGTCATGTGTAAGTGTTTTAGGTGTCAAACCAACCATGATCTGTAGAATTCAGTGCGCTAATAGTCAAGGGTCCCAGAGAACATCAATCGGTTTGGTACAGTGTATTAGTAATGTTCCTGTCCGTTTCCCTCTCCCTTAAGAGGAATTGGACTCATTGAATTCAAAAGGCTCAAAGACGGAAGCGTGTGTTTGGTTAACTTTTAAATTCATTAAGGGGGGTAAAATCACCCTAATAGAGTGTGGGTTTTTTTTTTTATGGGGACAAATCAGTAAAATCATTATTCAAAATAATTATTTGATATTGTATTCCTTGTAATTCTTACATGTGAGCATCAGCATTGTTATTTTCATACATTACTATTCAAAAGTTTGTCATCAGTACTTTTTTAAATAAATAACTACTGGTACTGTTCAGAAAGGAAGCATTAAATTGGTCGAAAGGGACATCAAATACATTTATAATGTTACAAAAGATTAGTATTTCAAATAAATGCTGTTCTTTTGATCTTATTTCTGACAAAAATTTAAGCAGCACAACTGTTTTCATGTTTGCTAATAATCATATTGCAAATGACACTGAAGACTGATGTTGAAAATTCAGTTTTGTCATCACAGGTATAAATTACATTTCAAAATATATTAAAATACTGTATTTTGCTGTATTTTTGATCAAATAAATGCAGCATTGTTTATTATTTATTATCTTGGTGAGACTTATTTCAAAAACATAAAAAAATCTTAAGGCGAGACACGGCAGACTTATTTCAGACTTGTGCTGAAAAAAAGTCCAAAATACACGTTTAGGTCTTTATTTTACTACACTTTGTCTGTTTGCGTGAGTAGATTTCGCCTAAATTCATCAAAAGTTGGCGTTCTAAATCATAACGCTGATCCGCGATCGCTGTCTGCACCATAGATATCCATAATAAAGGCTAGATGCCTCGTCTGCGCTGCTGGCCAATGGAGGTCGACGTCCGCACCTGGCGGCCATCTTGTCACAGGCAGCTCGCTCACTCGTAACATTGTGTTTTAATGGTGCATGTACTTTTTAAATAACCATAACTTGCTCAATTTTCTACCGATTTTCAAACGGTTTGGTTTGTTATAAACATCAGAGATGTAGTTATGACACTGCATACTTATGAATAATAAGTGTATAAATAAATAATCATCCAGAATTATAGCCACGTTAATAACGTTTGTAAGAAACCAAACCGTTTGTAAATCCGTCAAGATTTCAACGAGATAAGAGTATTTGTCTTCGTGCTGATTACTCATCTTACATCAGGTACCACAGAGCCAGCCAGAAAGCTTGCCTGTGACAAGATGGTCGCCGGTGATGACGATAGAGACTCCGCCGTAAGACATCTAGCCTTTATTATGGATATCTATGGTCTGCACCCTGTCATCACACACACCAGAAGGCTCTCTCTCTCTCCTTTGCAATGCTGTCGGATCCACATATGGTAATTTCCTGTTTATCAGCAACCAATCATGAAAGTAAAATGGGCGATTTAACTCGAAATGCGCAATCTTATTGGCTGATGCCAGTTTCTGACAAAGTGATTCGGTCAGAATCGTCACGTGACGGGCTCTGTCATTATATACATACATCACATACTATACTTTACACACTATATAAAACAATTACATTACACAACACATTTCAGTTTTTGTATAATATAATTACTAATAGCCTACTAAACAAATCTGTAATTGTGGGATCCTAAAGTGGTTGTGAGTCTCTCAGGCAGATACATATTCACCTGTGTGATGGACTGTTGATGTGTTGTTTTGATGTTTTGATGTAATGTTTTGGATGTTATGATCAGTGATGGATGAATCAATAATGAGTTTTGGATGTTAAACAGTGTGATACATGGATTTTACTTGGACCTAAAGCATATTTGGTCTGTAATTAATGGCTTTCAATAGAAATTAGTGGAATTTTACCATACAAATCTTTAAACGCCGTTTTTCTCTAAATAATTTTTTCTCACACTCCGAGTGATGATTTTCCACTTCTGTAGCCCTACATGCACCACACTTTACAGTCATATTCCTAACTATATTGTGAAGGTTTGTCCAGAGATGTGTTGATATATCATTCTTGGCCTGGTTTATATGACATTGTATGCCTAAAAATAGGGCGGAAATCAATTTAAGGCTATTGGGAGTATTTTCTGATATACAGGGTAAAAAAGGGGAGATATTCATAATTCCCTCTAGTAATGTCTTTTCATTGAATATATCAACAAAATACAAAAATAATTTTGAACCTTGTTTTTTTCAATGGTCAGATTCTTCACTTCAAAATATATGCAAATGAGTGCATATGTAATTAGATATAGCCTGATTAGCATATTTAAACATACTATCACAGAAAACTTGCAATACATTTTTTTTCTCCTATTCATGTGAGTAATCAACTGGTAAAGTTTCATGGTGATATCTGTAAGTTAACATTTTTACCCTATTCGCCTGTAGTGTCTCGCCTTAACCAAACTTTTGGATACTAGCGTATTGGTTGGTCATAGTTTCCATGTATTTTTTTAATCACCATGGTATTTTTTTTTTTAAATAATAATATTTAATTTCTTGATGCTCCATGGTTTACTCAAAATTATATTTTGTTTTGGAAAAACAACATTATTTTTACTACTTCTTTTTTTTTAATCCACATAAGTCTCTCATACATTCGCTATAATTTAAACATACCTTATAGGATGTGTCTGATGATTCAAAGACCATTTTGAGTCCATACTTTTGACTACTGTTCTCATTCCTTCAAAACTTTGCCTAAAATCCATGTACAGAGAGGATAAAACTTATGAGATTAACAAAGTTTCCTAATTTATATTCATAGCTCATCAGTTATAGCAGGTATAGACAGTGTTCGTCCTGCTCAATGTGTTGGTGTCCTTTAAAGAATACTGTATAGGACACATTGTTGAGCTGCAGGCAAGAACAGGACACTCATTTATTATGTTGAATGTGCCTCACAAACAATGACACAATCACACACTCATGCTCACAGGAACACAGGGTTTTCCATCTAAAATGGGTCAGATCTCATAAGTTTATGGGGAAAAGGCATACAGTGGTCTTATCTGGCACAAAGACCTTTACAGCTCTATTGCATGTCAAGTATCTGAGCTAAAATGACAGTTGGCCTTATAGAACCTGTCTCCCAGACAGATTTTGCCTTCTCATGCGGGCTACAAGGGATTTTCATTTTCATTGGACAATAAGCAGTTCGCTTCAATGCTCCAAAGCTTTCTATATGTCCAGAAAATAAACCTATAGTGTTCTTATAAGTTAAAGCCATCAAACAGAATTGTTTTCTGTTGTGCTGCAGAGCTATTTGAACATTTTGCTGTCCAAGGCACCAAAATGAATCTCAAGAGAATGCATGTTATCCACAATGGCTGATATATTTTTGGGAAATGGAATCTAACATCAACTTATTTTGAGATACTAAACACTAAATATCATGGGGTCCAAATTGTGCTGTGATGTGAGCACTGTCATTACAGAGCACTTTCTTCTGTGGATCACAAAAAGAAATGTAATGAAAGTCAGATAAATATTCGTAAATAAATATTATATTAATAAATATTCATGTGTGTAATAGTAAGCTGCTGATCAACCGTATCGATCTGATTCTCTGCTCACGTCTGTTCCTTGCAGTTTATTCTGGACAGTTTCCTTGTCAGTTCATGCTTTCTGTGTAATAGTTTTTGTTTGTGTTGCAGCTGCTGTCCGAGAGCCAGATTAACATGGTGAAGGTTGTCAACTCTGTGAGCGATGCTCTGAATGCCATGCAGAAGGAAACGGGAGGTCTGAAGGCCAGGGTGAAGGCTGACCTGCAGAGGGCACCAGTCAGAGGAGTTCGCCTTAAAGGCTGTGCTAATGGTAGGGGATCCAGTTTGCCCATCTTCTGTGTTTAACATGTTTTGGGTTTTACCTAAGTGTCCATTGTCTATTTGCTCCACTTTACAGTACCAAACACCAAGGCTGCATTTATTTGATCAAAAATACAGTAAAAATAGTAATATTGTGAAATATTAATACGGTTTCACTTTATTTTGGAGGACCCTTTAACACATTCTGTTGACAATAAGTAACGTTGCACCTACATTTGCTGCTCTAGAAACATTCCTTGTAATTATTATTATTAATGTTGAAAAAAGTTGTGCTGCTAAACATTTTGGTGGAAACCGTTATAAATTTTGTTCAAAGTTATTTGATAAACAGACAGTTCAAAGAACAGCATTTATTTGAAGAAAACTTTTCTAGCTTTACTTTCAGTTTTGATAAAAATGTGATGACCCTAAACTTTTGACCAGTAGTGTATGTTTCATTGTTCATTCACATGTAACCAAGTCCATCCATCCCTCTCTTCACCCCAGGGAGTCGAGATTTGGCTGGTTGACATCATTCTCTTTTGAGAACCATTAAAAATAATTTTGTTTGATTGCTACATATGTATTGCTAATATCTCATTATATAATGACAGATTCTTTTCTGGAGGCCCTTAAAAGCATGAAATTGACTTTTTAGAGTTTAGTATGTCATTAGTGAAGGGAATTAGTAAAGAGAGTCCAGAATAGCATAGTAGCATACTGCTCTTACTATTTCCTGTGGCTCCAAAGTGATTTGTCACATGGCATTTTTGCTCAGGTGATTGAGTTTAAAAGTTATGTGGTCCCATGGACAAAGATTTAGATTCAAATCATGTACTCTGACTACACCACCTCAGAATCACAAGCACTTTGGTCCCCGAACAGAGCGCCTCCTCCCACTGTTGACTCATTGATTCTCAATCCAAAGAACATCACACAATTTCACGGAAAACTGTGTTTAAAAAGCGCACATAACTATTGTCTTCTTTTTGTGCCCCGCTGATCTGAATTCTCATTAGACGAGTTGCTGGAAGCCAGAGGAAAGTGGCTGTGCTTAAATTGTGCTCTCAGGAGGCCTAATGTGTCTAAAAGCATTTTACCACTTTACTTTTAAGGTCCTGATGTGTCTGCTGGAGCCACAGGTGTGGCTTGTAATGAACCTGGTATGGAGCAGACACTTGTATGTAAGTGTGTGCCAGTGAAGGGGAGTGTGTTTTCTATAATCAGGGAAAAGGATCGCTCTTTTGGGAACAGAGACCAGTAAATTGAGAAGCACCAGCTGCCTTGGAAAGATGGGCACAAAATCATGTTGGCTAACCTATAGTAATATTCCTTTGGTCATTAAATTAGTCTTGGCCTAGTTCAGCTATTTGCTATCCTGTAACTATTTGCTATTTTTGTGTTTGATGCTCTCTCTCTCTCTCTCTCTCTCTCTCTCTCTCTCTCTCTCTCTCTCTCTCTCTCTGTCTGTCCGTCTTTTTCAAGGCTCTCGACCACGGGACTGTAGTGATATATATGCTAGCGGTCAGAGGGAAGATGGCATCTACTCTGTTTTTCCCACTCATTACCCTGCCGGCTTTCAGGTCTACTGTGATATGAGCACGGATGGAGGTGGATGGACGGTGAGTCACATTAACACATTTGCATATTTGTTCTTGTGAGTTTGTTTTAATATGCACCACCTGAAGAGTAATTAAATTGTATTTTTGGTAGTATCACACCAGTAGCGTAGCCAGAAAAGGGACTCTGGGTGTGTGTGTGCCACATTTATTGTCAGATTAACATTCCGGCCATTTCGGTGTCTTCTGATTCAACAGTTTTTTCACCTTCAACAGTTTTTTCAGAGTCACACCTGTTGATGTTGGGCCCGGGGAGGGAGAAACATCCTCATCAGGTGTAACGTTAAGGCCTGTTCACACCGGGACGAATTTCGCGCGCGATATTCGCCGACGTTTAACGCCTCGTGACTAAACAAATGGCGCCAATGTGAGTGTGCACACCGACACGAAAAACGCCACGCGTAAAAGCGTCATTTTTTTAAAAACGCCTCGGGTTCGTTTTTTTAGTTTGACGCGCCGCGTCAAAAACTATCCGACCAATGAGATTGGCGCTTTTGCTCACGTGTCTGGAGCTTCTGAAGTTACAGTAAAACACAACTTGGGGGCGCTCAAACACAAAACGGTCTTGCCGAGCACACATACGTAACGGCGAAGAAGATATACGCCAAGATGCGTCTACACTGCCGGGAAGAAATAAGACGAGGAAGATGCAAGGCAAGATGAATGTAGAGGTCCTGGTCTCGTTGGTGTCGGAACATAAAGAACTATATGACAAACGCGACAGTGACTACAAAAATCTTGATAAAAGAGAATGTTATGGAGTGGTATTGCAGAGCAAATGGGCACCATCTAATGTCAGGGAATGAATTTGCATGTTCACTCGGCTCATCGTCAGCGAAAATCGCTTGGGTGTGAACACAAAAAACGCGTTGAAAAACGCTGCCGAATAACGCGCGCCAATATTCGTCCCGGTGTGTACGAGCCTTTAGGCCTTGTGTCCGGCTGTCCATCAAGGGTTTATTGATAAAGAAATTAAAGCAGCAGTCCATAGCTTTTTTTGGGTTAAAAATTATCCAAAATACATATTTGAGAAAATACATAACCAGCCAGTGTTCAAAGCTATCTGCTTGCCTTAGCTCGATTTAAAGCGGTAAGCTTGTAATAATGTTTTTAATTCCAGTGGTACTGGTGGATTTCCGCGGGAGATTCGAGCATGTCTTTGCGTCATTACGTCACATCTGTACACACAAAGAAGGAGTCTCGGCTAGTGGGCTATATTGCGTGTGAGGTAGGGGTGTGCGATATATAACATTTGCGCTTATATCGTAATTGTTGTTTAAACGATATGCAAAATCATATTATCGAGTAAGTCACTCATTTTCAGAAACCAATCAAAACGATGCATAAGTTGTTCACAAATTGACGGCGCGCAAGGGTGCACACGTGACACGTGCATTCAGAGCGTGCGGTGCTTGACAGAAGTTAAAATGAGCAAAGAAACTGAGAGAAGAAGATATTCAAACACCAGCAAACTCACAATCCACGCTAGATTTAATTCCTAGACGTGGGCCGTCATCACTAGTATGGAGGTGGTTTGGTTTTGAAAGGTCAGAGGTGTTAGTAGTCAGGGAGCCAAAGTCTCAAAAGCTCAATAAAATGGGTTGAACCTGACATGGTCTGTCATACTTTTTATTTGTGTTTTTTCTGTTAACTTTGACCCTAAGAACCAATAATTGGAGGGTCTGCTCTGCCGGAAATATCGCGAAAAAAAATTGTGGCCATTTTAGTGTATGCACCCTTTATTTTTTATCTGAAAAATGTTTTTTTTCATCAAATCCTTAATGGGTTGGGTAGGCTGTCAATAAATGCAGTCCAGATACACAGAACACATGTGCTGACAACATCCACTGAAAAAATAACTCTTAAAACACATTTCTACATGATTTTGCATCAATTTAATGCAAAAAATTAGGCGTTTTCTCACTTTTTTCCAATATTTTCATCTTTACTTCATTGGCAATCAACTATTCCCCTAAGTTATGACATCAGTCAATATGCCATTCTTTTCACCAAACACTATACTCATTCCACAGAAAAAATTATAAAAATCCAACCAAAATCAATGGATCTGTGATGATTTCACTACTAGTTGGCGATCAACAGGCTCAGAACTTCAATAGAATTTTAGACTACTCTCAAAATTCTTAAAAACATGCTGGATATTTAGCATCATGGCACACTTACACACACACACACACACACACACACACACATGATCTTAGTAATTTTAATGAGTTTGGAACAACCAACCAACGGTTACCAACGGTTACCAACGGACTTCGAAGCTGCTCATCATTGTCTGTGGTAAGTGACAGTGACTTTAGTGAATAACGGTAGGTCTGCCCCAGCGTTTTGGGAAAAGAATGGTAATATGGATATTCTAATGGTAATTAACTGAAAGGACCACACCAGTCTTCAAACAAGTATATTTCTGATGATTCTCATCCCAAACGTATCCCTGTAGCAGCAGCATTCATTCTCTACTAGTTTACTTAGCTAGCTTTAGCCGTTTTAGCTCATTTCGGTGGTTTCTTTAAACGGCCATAACTCCTCACAGGTATGGAGTAGAGACTTACTTTTTTTTTTTTTTTTAAATGCTCAGAATCGTATGCTCTAAGAGAGGTATGTGTCCTTTATGTCCATTTTGCTTCGACCGGAAGTTGAGAAATTGTGAATAAATGCTGCTACAGGGATACGTTTGGGATGAGAATCATCAGAAATATACTTGTTTGAAGACTGGTGTGGTCCTTGAAGTGTTTTTCATGTCAGACAGATAGTAGGCTAGTAAGGATAACTAAAGGCTACACTAAATGTTAGCTGCCGTTAGCAATTAGCTACATGGCTAGTTGTTACGTTCAGGTTTAGAAAAGTTTTAGCTAGTTAGCTTGTGGCATGAATGGCCACACAAAAAAAACCCGATATATATAGCTATATTGGATATCAGACTGTACACAATACTGAACAATACAAATGTTCTGTAACATGTAAACATACTATATATTATGCATAGTTTGTTTTTGTATATAGTACTGTACAGTATATAGAGTGAGTGATTTGTCAAAAGCTAGTTAGCTAGTAGTGTCAAACATTTAGATTTCTTTCACCCGAATGCACAATATTTCCCATTGGCAGATTTGGTTCTGATCTTATTGGGTTTGCTGTGGAGGAAAAGTTAATGAGAAGAGAAGGCAGCAGAGGATTGGAAAGGACTGTAAAGAGGAGTGGAGTGGAGGATTGAACAGAAGAGAAGAGTGGAATGAGAAGAGAAGAGTGAAGAGGACAGGGGTGGACTGAACAAGAGAGAAGAATAGTGGATGAAAAAAGAGTGAATTGATCAGATGTGGTTTGTTGGTGACTTGGGGAAGAAGGGACCATAGCTAATCACAGTTGCAGGGATGGTATCTGGGATGAGAAATGCTTGGAAGGAACTCCATGTTGGAGCAGTGCAATTTGGTTTCAGGTCCTCCAATAGTTTGTTGTTGACTTGGGGAAGAAGGGACCATAGCTGATCACAGTTGCAGGGATGGTATCTGGGATGATAAATGCTTGGAATGAACTCCATGTTGGCAACTTGGTTTCAGGTCCTTCAATAGTACAGTAGGGCAGCTATGCACCAAATGCCAGAGGATGCTCAGGTGGTCTAGAGGTTCTGCTAGATACACAGGAAGCTTAGGCTCTGTTTCAACTCCAACCAGGGAGCAACTCTTTTGACGATCTTTTAGACTGAGGTGGCTTCCCTTGGTTTGAAAAGGCTGAGAAGATTCCAGGGCTGGTTGGCGGGTTTTCAGTAGAGGTTAACTAACCGTTGGTGCAAACTGTATGAATCATCCAACCACCAGGTTTGTTGGTATGAAGGCACCATCCCTAGTTGTCTGCTCTTCAACTGCCATTGCCATTGTTGTAATATATCTCTGTGCTTCTTTGTAGCTGATGCTGTTCCCAAATCTATTTAGGAGTGACACAGTCGACTTGCTTCTGGTTTCCTTAACGGCTGTCCCAACGTGTTTCGGTGTTGGGATCTTGGCAACTGCTTGGCAGACATCCTGGGCAAGGTTGAGAACTTGTTCTTGCTGCTTAGGACTGATTTTCTCCCGGCCGTCCTCACCTAACTCTGGAGATGCATCTGTTATCATCCATGCCAGGTGGTTATACAAGTTAGAGCTCACTCTTCGGGATACCTCCAGGTATGATATCTCTAGCTGCGGTGACGGGTCTTCAGTTATACTTCCAGGCATCTGGTGACTTCCTCTGGCTTGAGCTGTTCTGGCTTCTCTTGCTTCCTTCAGGGCCTGCTTACGTTGGTCCTGGAGCTCCTTCCGTATTGTAGGAAGAGACTATGGTGTCATCTGGTGTCAACTCATCATCACTTTCTTCTTCATACTCTGCCTCTTCAGTTTTCTCCTTAAGTTCCTTCAACTTTGAGAGCATGCAGCCAACATTAATTTCTGCTGAGCAAATCAGGGTAGAACATACTTTCTGTGGCACAACCATTATTTTACAATTGCCACCTACTTCATAGTGCCTTCTATAGTCAAAAGACGCCGATCTGCAAAATGTGCCGAAAATCGGTTACAGTCAAAAGCAGCTCGACGACCAATCTCTTTCTTCATCTTCGAACTACCCACCGCACTTAATATGAGGATTATGAAAAGCTTTGCGAGTCAGCCGAAAGTTCCTTACGACAGAAAAAGCGACAGATGGCAAGATATAGCCTAACAAACGCTGTTACCAATTACATTGCCAGAGACATGGTGCCAATTCAAGCGGTTGAGAGAGATGGTTTTAAACAGCTTTTAAAGACGTTAGATTTTTTTACCTTTTAGTCTTTAAATCGTAGACTTTGTTTACAGTAGAATCATTTGTTTACATATACATATTTTTTTCCTGTGTGCAATATTTGACAAATCTGAAGGATTTCTAATTTTACAGCTGTTACAGCTGTTTACTTTTTGTGCAATATTGGACAGAACTTGAAGTTAGTAATTCAATTGAGATTACTATGG